CTGACAGCAGGAATACCCCAACCCTAAGACCACTCCCAAACACTGTCAGCCGGACATAGAAAGAGACCGTTTGAGGCCTGTAGCACTGAGCACTCTCAGAAATAAAGGTACAACCAAAGTCACAGTTGCTTTGGTTGCTTTGGTCATTGTTACTTATTGAACTAAGTTAATCATGTTCTATAATATAAGTTCAAGGGAATCATAAGGTTAATTTGATTTGATTTAATTATTGTATTATTAAACCATCGTATTAAACTATCGTATTTTTAAACTATTGTATTACACTATCGTATTATTAAAACATCGTATTAAGTTTCTTAAATTATCATATTATTAAATCATGGTATTAAATTATTGTATTATTAAATCATCGTATTATTAAATCATCAAATTAAATGTCTAAATTATTGTATTATTAAATCATCGCATTAAATTATCGTAAAAAGAAATCATGTTAAATTATTGTATTATTAAATCATCATATTAAATTATTGTATTATTGAACCATTGTATTAAATTACCGTATTATTAAATTATTGTATTATTACATCATTGTATTAAATTATCATATTAAACCATTGTATTATTAAATTATCGTATTAAATTATCATATTATAAAACCATCGTATTAAATTGTTGTATTATTAAATCATCATATATAATTATTGTATTACTAAATCTTCGTATAATTAAATCATTTATTCATTCATTCAATTTCTTGTCAGCTTAGTCCCTTTATTAATCCGGGGTCGCCACAGCGGAATGAACCGCCAACTTATCCAGCACATTTTTACACAGCGTATTAAATTATTGAATTATTAAATCATCATATATAATTATCGATTTAATAATGGGTTGCAGCTGGAAGGGCATCAGCTGCATAAAACATATGCTAGATAAGTTGGTGGTTCATTACACTGTGGCAACCCCTGATTAATAAAGGGACTAAGCTGCAAAGAAAAAGAATGAAAGAAAATGTTGCAGATTAATGGAGTATGATTTTGATTGTGATTGATGAATCCGTTAAGCCCTGCTAATATGCAAGTAATAATTAAAGCATGGGTGTGATTTTACCAAGTAGAATGTGATCCTAAATTAAAATATATGTTGAACAATGATATCATTTCTGTTCAAAAATATAATCCATACCTAACCAGAGGGCTTTAATAGCTGGATAATGATGTAGAAGCACACAACCATAACTGTAAGCCTAAGCTTAACTTAAACTGTAAACCTATCCCTTGAATCTGATTGGCTGACTGGAATGTTGTTTTAGAAACATGTACTTGGAGACATCATGCTATTCTAATTGATGACAGGCCATTTAAATACCAGAAAATAATGCATATGCAAAATAGAGATGCGGTTATAAAGCAAAGCGAACCTCGTTTAGGCATTATTTTCTTACAATTCAACAGGCCAGAGTCAATTATTTTTCTTCTACTACAGTAACCACACTTATATCATGGCTCATTTGTTGTATTTTGACATTTCTCAGGTTTTCCCTCATAAACCGCTGATGTGGACTTTTTTTTTATCATTTGCTGTAGCGATTTAAAAACTGTAATCAAGTCATTTATATGTGCATTTATATGAAAAAAACCTGCACATTTACAGTTCCCGCTATTAACAAACCTTATAGCTCAATAAATTAGTCAACAGTTATTAAGGCACTAGTTGGGTTTATGTAATGGGTAGGATTAAGGATACAGAATAACATCATATTTTATAAACACTTATTAAAAACTATACTATCATAAAAATAAGCAGGTAAAACGCCAGTAGTTAATATTGGTCCTTAAACTAAAGTGTTAGCTTGATGGGCACTTGCATACAAAGGTCTACCTGTTTAAAAGGCATCATCCCAATGACTTTTCTAAGAGTGTTTAGACTCAGTTAGCTGTACTAGTTAGTCTTTATTAGACCGACTTTATAAAAATCATGAGCTCAGGTCAGTTCTGAACTTAAGTGCAAGCAACTGAGGAAAGGAGGGATCTGCAAAAACCATATGAGTAAAAGTAGCACTGCCAGGAAATATTCAGCTTGGATAAAAAATGACTCTTTGAGAGGAAGCGAGAGGGAGAGAAAGAGAGAGAGGTAAGGGGTATATGAAGTATTAAAGTTAAAGGCTAAATTAATCAGTAAAGCAACATCTTGCCTTCTGACATCAGACGGTGTAGGTTTGGGATTTCCTTCACGTGGGGAAATGGTGGACACCCCTCCGAAGGTGTCTGGGGGGCGTTTGAAGGGGTTTCCCCCTGCACGGCCCTCACATCGGTTTGATATGCCCCTTTTTTCCGCTGAGTCACGGAAACACTGCTGCCCCTTCAGCCAATGAGAGCTCTTTAAGACCTGTCAACAAATAAAAATTTTTTTTTTTTTTTTGTTTTTTTTAAACGTATAAGGTAATGAACAGATGCCTGTATTTTGTGATACATAGTTTTATTTACACATAGTTTTATTTTTGGGTAAAACCCAAAAATTTAAGGCAACTCAAACTAATTAAGTTCAAAAACTAATCTTGATGTGCAGATCTCTCGCACGCCCCCATACTGAATGTAACCACAAACCATGATTTTTCCTTCACCAAATTTGACTGATTTCTGTGAGAATCTTGGGTCCATGCCTCATGAGACACATTGGGATGCAGTTCAACAAATAATTCAGAAAAATCTACCTTCTGCCACTTTTCCAAATGATCAACTAAGTCAAGATATTAAATATAGTAAGTTGAAGTCAGAATTATTAGCCCCTCTTTGAACTTTTTGTTCTTTTTTTTTAAATATTTCCCAAATTATGTTTAACAGAGCAACAAAATGTTCACAGCATGTCTGATAATATTTCTTCTTCTGGAGAAAGTTTTATTTGTTTTATTTTAGCTAGATTAAAAGCATTTAAAAAAAATCATTTTATGGACAAATTTATCAGCCCCTTTAAGCTATATTTTTTTCGATAGTCTAAAGAACAAACAATCGTTATACAATAACTTGTCTAATTACCCTAACCTGCCTAATTAACCTTATTAACCTAGTAAAGCCTTTAAATGTCACTTTAAGATGTATAGAATTCAATTTCAATTCAATTCAGCTTTATTTGTATAGCGCTTTTACAATGTAGATTGTGTCAAAGCAGCTTCACATAAATGGTCATAGTAACTGGAACAGTGTGGTTCAGGTTTTAGCGTTTAAGTTCAGTTTAAGTATAGAAGGGTCTTGAAAAAATATCTAGTACTATATTTTTACTGTCATCATGACAAAGATAAAATAAATCATTAGGGGCTAACAATTCTGACTTCAACTGTATATATATATAATATACAAAGTATATATAATACTAAGCACTAAAATTTTAATTCATTGGATACTATGAGGGTCACCTATCATTAGATACATACATGTTTGCATGTCATACATTTAAGAAATACCTGCAAGTTTCTCTGTTGTTACATGTGTTATTACATACATCGAGCCTTAGACCTTACCCACCCTTAAACCATTCGTTAATTAATAAACTTGTACTTTACATTAACTGTACTCTACCTCATAACGTTTTTACATACAACATGCAAGTCAATAATGAAGAAATCTAATATAAATATCAATGTCAGGTAAACAAATATGCAAAAAAGGTACCATTTACTGAGAATGACCCCAAGAACCTCTACCAACAAGACATATCATAATCATTATTGATTAGGATACTGATATAAATTACCTGAAGCATGGAGAGGATGGTTGCCCAGTGTTCAAGGGCCTTGGGTTATCTAGAAAGGCTAAAGGTTCAAAGACAGACATAGATTGAGAAAATTCCCTCTAAACATCTTCAGTGTTTGCCCTCAAGACAGTGAAGTGATGCTTCTCATGAGAATCCACCTTCCTGCAGAGTTTAAATACATCTGAACCATCTAATGAAGGTCTTTAAGATTACCAGAAACTTCCAGGCAGGTTGAAGCAAAAGTTTGCACAAAGATTGGTCTTTATGAGCAAGATAGGACAGGTCTGTCTGCAATTAGAGAGCTGAAATCAGAAAAGACAATGCATGAAAGAGGCACACACTCACTGTCAACTTGTAATTCACAAAGTGTTCATTTAAAATAAATATGGATTGTTACAGATTAAGTCCATGGGGAGAAATGCAGGCGCTTTAGGGTAGCATTTCTCTGAGGACGTGAGGCAATGATTGCAGTCCACTGACAACACACGCGTTCACTTTTTTTTTTTTTAGGAGTATGGGAGTAATTAATGCTCAGCGCTGTAGTTATGAGACCTATTAATGGATGGAAAAACAACTTCTCCAGAGAGGAGCATCACATGAGCAGATCCTGTACTGATTGTTTACTGATGCAGACTGCAGACACTGTTTTCAGTTTGTTGGTTATTATGTAAAGATGTTTAACAAACTATACTTTAGTCCAAAATTTGGATAAAGTGTTGAAAATCCCATTCGCCGCACCGTAAAAAAAATGTTGGGTTGCACTTAATCGGTTTTTGTTGGGACAATATAAAGAAATTAAGTTAACTTATTACAAATGTACACTGTAAAAAGGGATCAGTTACTTAAATTGAGTAAACCAATTGTCTTAAAAGCAACAAGTTTAAACAACTTTACAAAAATAATGCAAGTAAACCCATTGTAACTTGGAACTGCTAAGCTGACTTAATTTTTATAATTATGCTAATTGTACTCACTTTTTAAAAGTCAACCAATCTCTTTTAACAGTGTCAGAGTATTTTAGCACGTTTGTTTTTCAATAATTACTACATTCATTACAATATTACTTAATTGGTGCTTCATTGAGTCTATAAAATCTACAATTATAGCCTGCTCTGAATTTAGAAGACACACTAGAGAGCAGATTTATTGGTTACTGTCATTTTGCTAGATACAGAAAAACTGGGAAATAAAGGTGTATTGGAAAATAAGTGATTAGTTAACTTTTATTTAAAATAAAGTGAATACAATTTGCATAATAATAACAATTAAGTCAGCTTAACAGTTCCAAGCTACAATGGGGTTACTTACATTACTTTTTGTTAAACTTTTCAACTTGTTTCTTTTAAAGCAATTGGTTTACTCGTGTTAGGTAACTCATCACTTTTTACAGTGAAATGGGATTGAACATAAAACAAGTAAGTTGTCCTCCCGAAAAACCTTAAGAATTATGTTGTTTCAGCTAATTTGTAATAAGCAGTTTGAACAAAAAGCAAACGTCATTGTCGGTTTAAAATGTTCTCCAAAAAGTTGTTTGTGCATATATTACCCACATTTGAGTTGGAAATTTGATTTGATTGTTTTGGAACAATTAATGATTATTTTTTAACAAATATTCAGAAAACATAATCACAATTGAAAATGTATACTACAGGATATACAGGGGCGGGTTTAGTTATTTGGGGGCCCTAAGAGATTATAGCCATGGTGCACAACCATCCTAATATGCACCTTTTGTATTTTTATTAATTTATTTTGCTGTTTTTTTTCTTATATCACTCAACCTTCTTTTATATATTTGTATATTAATGTAGTCTGTACATTTTACTGGATTTGTTTTCATAAAACAGTGAAATATTTCTGATAAAAATATACAAAATAATACACACACACACACACACACACACACACACACACACACACACACACACACACACACACACACACACACACACACACACACACACACACACACACACACACACACACACACACACACACACACACACACACACACACACACATTTTCTTCCTGATTTGACTATGAGTAAACCAACTGAGTACTGTAAAACCTAATAAGTTAAGGCAACTCAAACCATTTGAGTTAAACTACACTGAAAAAAGTGTTGCATGCAGAACTGTTGCAAATAATTTCTTTGTGTTGAATTTAAACAAACAAATTAAGTTTAGTAAAGTTCAACTTAATTTGTTTGTTTAAATTCAGCCCAAATAAATTGTTTACCACCTCTTAACATAAAGAAATTGAGTAAATTCAAGGAATCATCTTTGAATAATTTTTTTCAGTGTAATCTAAGGGTACTATGTACTTACTCCGTTTAAGCTGAAGTTATGCGGTATTTTCATAACTCATTACCTTCAACACTGAGTTCAAAACTCTTTTCAAATAAGTAGATTTAACTTTCAGTCAATTTTGAGTTAACCACACTCATTTCATTTGATAAAGTTGACTTATAGCTTTTACAGTGTACCTTTAAGATACTCTGCACTTTCTAAAATTGTACTGCAACAGCACCTTTATCTTTTACTTTAATTTCCGATAGTGTATAATGACCAATTACAGAAGTGAATATTGACCATTTCTAACAAAGCAACATGATAAAGTCTGGGTAGATTAGTCAAGTCACCTTTATTTTAAATGGTAAATTAACAGCCTGTTTTCATAGTCAACATGTTGTGGGCTGTAAAAATGGGAAAAAGAAATAACGTTATATGTAATTTTGTAAAATTGTAAACTTTTCTAAAATTGTCCCTAAACGATATGGCTTGTGGGTTGCATGTGTTCTTCGCATCGATGTTTCTATGATGAAGGTTTAACATCGATCAAATTACTTTGTCCTGCAAAAGCTTCTTTATAGTAAATTAAAGCTCTTTAGATCATAAACTATGAAAAATGGAAAAACATTTCATTACTGGCAGGGGAGGACTGGCCATCTGGCAATTCTGGCAAATGCCAGAAGGGCCGGACCTTTTATTTTAAAATGTGGGCCGGTGTGCTATTTTTAAAAAATTTTTATGTATTGTTTTTACATGCAGGCAGCTTTTATCTCTTGCAAGAAGTGAATATGATAATGATAATAGTTATTATAATAATAAATGTTAAGCATTGGCCCAATCGGCAATGGCCGGCTGGTTTCGAGAGGGGCCGACCCAATCAGAGGTTACGTGGACGTAATCAAAATCTGTCAAGAATGTCAAACAAACAGTAAGTGCAGCACAAGCTAATTGTCAGAGATGGACTGTAGAAAAGGAAAGGTGTTGCCGAAAAGCTCAGAGAAAGCAAAAGATTGCTCTAAAATCAGACGCTGCCAGATGCATAAAATTAACTGAAATAGTCTCGAAAGGGGGCAGCGCAGTGGGTAGCACTGTCGCCTCACAGCAAGAAGGTCAATGGTTCGAGCCTTGGCTGAGTCAGTTGGTGTTCTTATGTGGAGTTTGCATGTTCGTGTAGGTTTCCCTCACAAGTCCAAACACGAGCTATAGGTGAATTGGGTTACACATATGGGTAACACATATGCTGAAAAAGTTAGTGGGTCATTCTGCTGTGGCGATCTCAGATTTATAAAGGGACTAAGTTGAAAAGAAATTGAATGAATGAAATGATTGATGTATAAATTTGTTATAAATGGGTTTTTGTTCCAGTCACATACATTAAAAGTTTAAATATATATTACAAAAGGTACTGCTTATATTATTTCACCATCTGTGCACCAATATAAGTAGTAAATGTGCCTGTTCGTGGATAGGGCTGTGTCGGTGTGGTAATATGGGCTGGTGTGGCTACAGTGCCAGGGCTGATTTTTAGTCCCAGTCCGCCCCTGATTACTGGGTTAGTTTACCTAAAATTTAAAATTCTTCAGAACTTGGAAAGAACTTTGATTAGTTGAACCAGGGAAGTGACATAAAATGTTTTTGGACGTTTAACATCTCAGAACCATAGCTGACTTTTAGATTTCCTTAACATACTGTATCTTAATTTGTGGATTTCTTAAAATGAATAAAGGTCTAAGGGGTTTGGAACATTACGAGTGTGAACAATTACTAATAAAATTCTAATTTTGGTTGAACCACTTCTTTAAAAATGCTTCTTAAGGAAACAAAAATGTTTACTTCCCTTTGAAAAAACCCTTTTGTAGTTCTTCCTGGCGCCTTTATTTGTATGACTGTGCTGTCAGTCAGCAGTGGTGAGATTTAATCAACTGTAAACAGAGGGGGGAAACCACAAACTGCCACCATGGTGATGGGTGCCTAAGATCATTGATGTGCAAAGCCCTTCCTGTCTCACCAACAAAAAGTCCTTGGTACAAGTCAGACAAAATATCAATGTGTCACAAAACACAGAGTATCAAACCTGCTGCGTATGAAGCTGCAGACCAATCATGCCCTCTCAGTCTGCAATGAAAAGCTTCTACTACTGACATTGAAAGAATCAAAACTTAACCATGGAGCAAGAGAACATTATCCTGTATTTGTGTTTGGCCATGTGAGCACCTGTATGATGTGCTGATCTAACGGAAGCTACACCTTACAACCTAAAGGAATGTGGAGAATCAGCTGCTGGTTGGAAAAACTACAGAACATCTTCAGGGGTCATGAAGAATCCAGGTTGCTGTGGAATATTTTGACAGCACATGCAACAGTAAATGAATATATGGTATACAAGAGAGCAAGAGTAAGCAGCCTGCTCTAACAAGGAAACTCACCTATTTTACATGTTGACAGAAAAGTGACTAAATACTACATTTTTCTTTCATTGAAATGTAGAAAAAATAAAAATAAGAGAACAAGTGTGCAGAAGTCATCACAGTGGGGTAAACTCAGAGTGCAGTAAATGGAAGAGTACAACAAATCATTTTTTACAGTCCCATTTGCTGAAATAATGAAAGAAAAACTCTACGATGGTGTTATCAAGACCTTCAGAAAAAGGAAAAAAAAAGTGTGAGAATAATAACGGCAGCCAGAAGAGAAAACAACATTAAATGTATTGTACTCCCCCATAGACACTGCATTAGAAACACCTAGGCCCAATCCCAATTCTACCCCTTAGCCCTTCCCCTTACCCCTCGTTTTGCATGTTCACGTGAAGAGATAGGGGTGTCCCAATTCTCTTCATCCTAAAGACGTAGGGCTAAGGGGAAGGGCTATACCTCTAAAAAAAAGAAGATTTTTCAGGACCACACTCAAAACTGAGGGGTAAGAACATTTCACAGTATACACCAGCCACAACGGCAGCATGGTTGCACATGGAAGTCAGGAAATCCACAAATTCATAACATTCATAACAGTGTTCATGTTTTCCAGTCATGCTTTTGAACAAAACCGCTAATATAAAAACGCAAAATTTCGCTACCTACAATCCCTAATATTAACTCCTGTATAGTAGTGCCACAACATTCTGACACTCGAATATCCTGTTAGAAAAGTCTAGTGGCTGCGAATGACCTTTTTACAGTGTCTGCTATAATGTCATTGTTGTTTTCGTGTGTTTACATAGATGAATAAGGCCACTGTGTAAATGCGCAGTACAGTTATGATCTTATTACCAATCATTTATCATTATGATAACATAATATAGGCATTCAGTAGTTTCCTGAAGATAAATATAAAAAAATAACGCAAAAAGAATACAGCAGTCATGATCGTCGATCTCATATGAAGCAAAAGATTGTGATGACATACGATGACGTGTGTCATCACGTGTCTCATTTCTTAGGGGTAAATTTTGACACTCTGTTTCAAGGGCCAATGGGAAGGGGTATAAAAATAAAATTGGGATTGGGCCCTAATATTAGTGGTAATTCTTTTTTGGACATAAATTCAAACATAAATGCGTAAAAAGTTGAGAATTTTTTT